TAAGCTGTCTAGTCGTATTGGAAATATGCTTGTTCTTAAGCTACCTGGTCGTTATTGGGAACATGCTTGTTCTGAAATCTGTAGTTGTATTGGGAACATGCTTGTTTTTAGGCTTGGTTGTTATTGGGAACATGCTTGTTCTTAAGTTATAGCTGTCATCCATGCTAGGCTGCATGGAGGCGCAGGGAGTTCTTGCCCAGAACAGAACCATACCGCCAATCCAAACTGTATGCTAATTGTCAGTCATCTTTGACGATAGATGTCTTGACAGAACTAGCAATTTCTAGAAATAACTAGTGTCCTGGGATCAATTTCATCCTTAAATGGTCTATTATCTCATTTATATCTCAAATTATCTTATTTTATTTCATGTATAAAGATGTGGTGTTTTTTTATTGTTTTTGTATGTGGAATATGTCCGAGGAGCTTATTATTACTGGGATTGCATAACTGCAGAAAGATGATACAATGAGCGCTTCTCATTGATAACACAATGAATCTGTTAGTTGAGCATCTGTGAGTGTGTAGCTACAGTAATATCCATTAGTCACAGCAGACAGCATATTTAATGTGATGAGAATGAAAATGAGGCTGTGATGGATTGAAGTTCATGTCATACTCTTGTATATCTGGGGAGAAATAATTCAGCTGATGAAACAATCTGGAACTGTGGTCATAGTGGACAAAATAATAAGGAAATTTTCAATAAAAATGGCATTTTGTAGGATCTTAACATATGACGTATTGGATGCACTGCCCTTTCCACTTCATTTGATAATAATAATAACTACATTTTATTTGACATTGTCGTTTAAGTCAAATTAAATATGACATATACCCTGGTCTAAAACCAGATTTTGCCATATACAATATAATTGTGCATTTAAATGGATAATTAATCCAAAAATACAAATTCTGTGATCATTTCCTCACCCTCATGTCATTCCAAACCTGTTTGACTTTCTTTCTTACAGTATGAGGAACATAAAGGCAGATATTTTGAAGACTATTGTGAACAATTCTACTGTATGGACATCAAAACCCCACAAGGACATTTATCAAAATATCTTCTTTTATGTTTCACAGAAGAAGGCAAGTCATACAGGTTTAGATGATGAGTAAATGACGACAGAATTTTCTTTCTTTCTTTTGGTGAACCATACCATTAAAATATGCAAAATAAACCGCAAACTTAACAGGGAGGACAAGTTGTCTCTTATGTTTTTGTTGTTGACGTCAAAGGTCACATGTCCAATTGAACTCTGTGATATTTTGGTACTAAAGCATCTGTCACAAGGTAAAAGCAGTTTGCTACTTTGCTGTAAAACCAATGTTTATTCTGGGTTCTGAAACAAAATCAGTTGAGATTGACTGATCTATACAACAAATAGTACATCACAAGAACATAAACCTCTCTGGAAAACAATATAAAGTGTACAACTCTAGGGTGTGTATCACTGCGTATGTATGTAAGAGCTCAGAAAGTACACCTTTCCAGGTACACCTTCATTTTTCCCTCTTATTCTTCCCCTCTTGCACGTTCTCTTTCATTCACTATGCATTCACAATGTGACTGATCTCCTCCCAGCTTTGGCATTACTTAGAGCCCTCTGGGACAGAACAGA